GTGAGGATCGAATTTAAAATACCCTGTACATGGAAAATATTATTTTCACCCAGCAGAAACAGTCACTCCCTCTCCGTGGGCACCCGCGAGAAAAAATCTCCAGAATTCGTTATTCTGTTCATTTTTTCACCAGCCTTGGGTTGAGCTTACATAGCTAGAATATATAAATACTGTTTGTGCATACACTTCGAGGCTGGGCGACAAGAGAACAGGGAACAAAAACCCTAATATCCAAGTTTTATCAAAAGTCATTCACAATACTTTGTACATTTCTCATGCATAACCACTGCAGACGTTTATTCAGAATTCTTACTATGTATTTATTTCTTCAACTTGTAATTCGATGTGTGGAATCACAGTTCTTCGAATTTATGTTTATACTTTATATATGAGGATTGAATGGTAATTACTGAGTAAATCTACATGACATTCTTGGGTGCTGCTATTTTTTAAAGGAAAATTCAAGCACATTTGGACAGTTGGACGAAAAATCCTAGATCATTCTGGTTTACAGCAAATGAACCCACAACTTTTTCAAAATTATCTACTTTATTCTGAAAAATTTTACATTCGATAATTGTTGTACTTGATTTCGAGCTCTAAAAATTCACTGGAAAATTATCTGCTGACTGATTTGACAGTCATCAAACAGTCAGAAGTTTCTGTACGAACAGCGGATTAGTTGTTGGTAATCGGTCTGACCTCTCTCAGCCAACTCGTAACTTTCATGTACGCAATGAATACAGTAAAAATATTCATCATTTGTTTGTCTGGGCGGTCCGTAGGACCTTTGCCCAGTAGTCACTGTCTGATGTACGTTAGTCGAATCTGTCAGTCCTGGTTGCCCAGAAACCAAAGTCATGGAAAAAGAGAAAGGGAAAGGGAAGAAAAAAGGAGAAGAGCAAAGAAAAACAGATACGCTTAGTTTAAGAGGAAACATCTAGGCTTTTTGACTTGGTACACGGATTAATTTTGAGGTGAACTAAACTAATTTTTTGAATTAATACAGTCAGCGACGTGTCAGGGACAGCTAACTGCGTAAACTAGGTCATGACTTGTCACCGACTATAAGTTTGCTGATTGTCAGCAAACAGGCTGTACGAACAAACCACCTGTCATTTCTTCTAAAATCTATTAAAAAGCTACTATATCCTATAACGTATCAGCCCTGCAAATATCATCCACTTACGATAAGGGCATCACATTGCAAATAAAATTGCACCTCAGGTATACAACTACAAAAATAATCTGAACGATGAAAGTCGTAAATCATATGTAAACATCCTCTGATGTACATTCTACTTACTGAAATCTTTAGAATTAGATTGCCTGATCTAGTTAAGATTAGCTAAAACTCCGCATCACAGTGACCCATGCAGCCTATAAGGATCCTTCAGCAGAAGCAGATATTTTTCCGTATATTTTGTACCATTCAAGCATCACAGCTGTAACAGACCGATTTTTTCTGCTTTTTGCATTCAAATATTCAAGACTGTTCTCTCGAAGCAATCGCAGTACCTGAGTGTTTAAGCTTTGCCTTTTTATTGATTGGAATGTGGAACAAAGTCCCTGCCAATGGCTTTTAATGGACCTCATGGGCCACAGATGAAAGAAATACAAGTATAGCTTTGATATGATTCCTTTATTGTAGGCGGATAAAATTTGCTGGGTCGAACTATGAAATCTAGCTCTTTCAATTGATTCTAGAAAAAATTATAAGTTTTTTTTGACAGCTCTTAAAGATTGAGAACTATCCTGCAAAAGACGAAAAAATATTGGACCTTAACAGTGATGTGAAAGATAGGCAGTCGTAAATACCATGGACTGTTTTGTACAGAAATACAAGGCTATTTATTATATACATTAACTAGCAAAATAGGCGGATGTGTGCCCGTGGTGTCAAAAGACAAAAACTTCAAGAACTTACGAAGCACCTCCTCCAAAGAGTCAAATGTGGTCACATAGCAGGAGTTCCTACTACCTTTGCATACCAATTTGTATAGTACGAAGAAGTTGGAAAGCATGAACGTTGCCTGCCTATTGGTAAATTCTTTGAAATTCCGTATCACAAAACCCAATAACCTATTAACAGCTAGAAGAATTTACTCTATATGAGGATTGAAGCTTAGAGATTTATCAAAGATCACACCTAGGCCTTGTGCTCATGTAATCTCTGCAAAGGACTATTATCGACTTGATAATTGAATTGAACGGGAATCATCTTTCTTGTGTATAACATAACAATACACTTACTGATGTTGATTGGGAGAGTTTATGATACAGCATTCTAGTACCTTCAAGGTCTCTATTATATGGCCATTGTTGATCCTTCCAAAAATTTATATCCTGCATAAAATTTGAATTGGTAATAGTACTTTCCTCGAAGATGTATGACGTCCTTCTCACTTTTCCGTTTTCTGTTCATCTTCTAGCTGACATTCGAAGGACTGTGGTCACGAAACACTCATCCCAAAGACTTCCCAGCCGATGGATGATTGACAAGGTTTAGCGACATCATTGGAGCGTCGCACACTATCAACTATACGTTCTGGAATTACGGAGACTTCGCCAGCGAGGGACTTAGGCAGCTTGCCGAGCATGGGAACACCAGGATGCTGGAGAGTGAGCTGAAAGCTAAGGTGAGCTGTAGCTTATTTCATTAATAGATGCTTCTGAGTTCTCTCTTTTTCCTAGTATATGAACAGAATAATATTTGGTAAATAAAATTCCCTACAAATACAGGGTGGCCCATCCATGCGTGTACGGAATATTACTCATAAACAAATACGTTTCTATCTACGGCATTATAAATGACATTTGAGGGCACATTTCTAAAATATTGGCAATTATACAAGGTGTGCCAATTTTGACCTACATATCAAAGTTGTGATTGTTTGAAAGGAATGCCTCAACTTTTATTGCATATTTGGATAAACCAATTCAAAAGAAGAAGATTGATATGACATACTATAGGGCTTTGGCAATTAGCTACTGAGATGTAAGGTTTTTTGTCCAGAAAAACCGTCCACTTCGGCAACCCCTCAATCCGCCATTTTGAAATTTGGAGTGCTAAATTTTGTATCAAAAAAACTTACACACCTCAGCTTTTATCTTATTTGTTAATTTTTCGAATTTCCATTTTTGCTCATACAGGGTTGTCGAAAACGCGAATTGTACTTTTTCTAAAAAATTTCAAATGCATCACCCTGTATATTTGTGCAAGTTTGTATTCAATTTTTTATAAGCTTTTGTTGTATAAGGTTTGATTTAGATAAAATCATTAGATTTTAAGTTATTTAGCTTTTAATAGAACAATACACCAAAATTGAGGAAAAAAATCATCCATGGAAACAAAAGACAAACAGTGGGCTAGTTCCATATTGCCACTAAGAGTACAGATTTGACGTAAAAACTAATAACAATCAGAACAGTATAAATCAGCTTCAAGCGTAATAGAGAAAAACTACTACAACAACATAATAAACAAACTACGATCACTACTCAACACCTAATCTACAAAAACTGCGCGAAAATATCTCCACCATTTTGAATACAAAGCCGTAGTCTTTGGATAAATGACCCTTGCACATCCCTCAGCATGTGTTTTCCCTTATATTCAGAAAAGCATCCTTAATCCTTTCCTCCATATTTTCCGGGGTAGATGGTGGATATCTATAAACCTCCTTCTTGCTTAACGTAGCCCCACAGAAATACGTCCATCGGTGTCATATCGGGTGATCTAGGAGGCCAAGATATATGCCCATCACGACCGATCCAACGATTGTTACTCCAGGTGTCCAAAAAAAAGTACATATGCATCCGGGTTTACAGGTTGACATCCTCCAAAAGCAAACGCAAATGCTCGATCAAAACACTAAAGTATTCTGTACCTGTTAATTTGTTGTCGAAAAAGAAAAGCCCGATAAATTTTCTGCCAATAACTCCTCCCCAAACATTCAAGCTCCATTTATTTTGGAAATCTGTTTGTCTAACCCAGTAAGAGGTTTCCATCGCTAAAAAGAATCTTATCCAGGAAAGTAGTGTCTTCACTCACTTTATTTAACATTATTCTACTAAACTCCATTCGAGCTGCGAAATCCTGAGGACAAAGACCTTGATGCAAGCATAGGTTATATGGATGGTACTCATGCTTGTGAATAATCCTTTGGACAGAAGATCTGCATATATCAGTTTCTGCTCCAATTTGCCGTGCACTTAAATGGGGATTTAGAAGAACCTCCAACTGATTTGTATCTTTAGTGACACTTGGATCATTTATTCATTTTTACTATATTCCACTGCTCCACTTGATTATAAATGCGAGATGCTTGGAAACATATTTCTTCTTTAGAAAAATTCGTTTTCAAACACGTTTTTATTATAATGCTCACAAAGCTAATTTTGACAGTTTGTAACTAATCAACAATTTATTTGTTTCCAAGGATGATGCGATATTTTAGGGAATTAAGCCGTTCCATAAAAGACGTGCTAATAACCGAAAAAATAACCGTAAAAACCCTTATGTCTTTTGTCAAAAAAAATCTTATAAAAAATTTAATCCAAACTTGCCCAAATATACAGCGTGATGCATTTGAAATTTTTGAGAAGAGCTACAATTTGCATTTTTGACCAACCTGTATGAGCAAAAACTAAAATTCTAAAAAGTAACAAATTAGAGAAAAGCTGAGGTGTGTAAGTTTTCTTTTGATACAAATTCAGTACTCCAAATTTCAAACTGGCGGAATGAGGGATTGCCGAAGTGGGGGGTTTCTCTAGACAAAACACCTTATATCTCAGTAGCTAATTACCAAAGTATGTTATATGAATTTTCTGCTTTTGAATTGGTTTATCCAAATGTGCAATAAAATTTGAGGCATTCCATTTGAAAAATACAACTTTGATATGTAGGTCGAAATTGGGACACGCTGTATAATGGCCAATATTTTAGAAATGTGCCGTCAAATGTCATGTATAAAATCATATATATATATATGTTTTCCCAAAATGTATTTTTACGTTATGTGTATTGGCGTCTTGAACAAATATCTCAATAGTAGCAGGCTTCAAAACCCAACGTGTCCCAAAATGAATCAGTATAATCGAGTATCGGTCCTACTCAGCTATGTGGAAGAATGGTGTTGGTTAATTATGCTAACTTTTATATATCCTGACGTTCTGGACAAATCTCAAAACTCAACGAGCCTCAAGGTATGGACTGTCTTATATATAATGGGGTATCGGCAGGCTTATTACATAAAAAACCTATATAATTCCAACAAAAACCGACAAAATGTCAAGTTTCTAACTAGATAGCTCCTAGTGTGCAAATAGTTCATTCCGCTCTTGCTTGCTATGAGCGGTGTGAGCACCACCCATAGCGTCACCTACGGAGGAATGACTCAACGACATGCTCAGCGATCATGCTGCAAGCTAGGTCGCCAAAGTGTTTTGTTGGTTGCAGAAAACCGAAATAGTCTCTAGAGTATATCTCCGAGAAGGTGTGACAGAGAGATAATTTGGTTGCGTACCAGAGTAACAAGATCGCATCTGGATGTTCGTGCGTATTGGTCTGCATGTGTATAAAATCAGTGATATTTTCTTTTAGCTGTACCAGACGGGTTATTAGTGTTGTCCTCTCTGAAGAGAGGTTATGTTTTAAGTTATGATTCACGATTTTCTCAAGTTTCATTTGCGTTTTCAAAAACATTGAGAAGCATTACCGGAAAACATCACCCCGCCTGCGTTTTGTGTAATTAACAGTTTCGCAATGCCACACATCTAGGCGCTGATTTGTATTTTATACTTGATATCGCAAAATAAATTTCTATAAAATTTAAATGACTGAAAATAGAAAATAATGTAAAATGTAATAACCTTTTCACGTTTCATAAATATTCCTGTCTGCAGCCCATTTTCTCACCAAGTTTTTCCTTTTTATATTTCTCGTTTCTTAAATTCAGCAAATTGGCATATATGATCTCCAGAATGAAGCATACATCACAAGTAAGTGTATTTGAGACAATAAACCAAGATAATGATAATCTGCACAGATTATTAGCATACAGATCCTCACTAACCACCCGTTTCCTTCCAGCTTAATAGTACAAAACCTACAGCTTAGACCTCCAATTATGCCATCTCTGAAGCAAATGTTACATCACATCAGAGCCAAACCATGATAGATCAAGCGTTATGATTTTTAGGCAACACGTATAGCTAGACAACGGGTACACATAAAGTAAACAACCGCTAGTTCCAAGTTGATATCTTATAGGAAAACATAATGTCACAAAAAACCTTTGTAGTGTCAAAAAACCCTACATAATGTCACTTTTTAAGATTCGTAATACCAATGCGGGTCTACTCTAATGTTTTCTACTTGGAAGAGCGATTTCTGTTAATATGACCTAATTTATCAATTTCTCTTATATCTTGGTATTCTGCACAAATCTATAGGCCACACGGAGCAAACGGCTGAGCGGGACAGATGACCCATCATACTGACAAATACTGCCATCATCTTGGGACCTGTTGAGGTTTGGGATTTATGTCCATTGATACATTTGTTGCTGCTGAAGATGTATGAAATTCGTTCTTACCACCAATTAGTGATTATTCAGTAAGGTTGAACAAATAAGTGATAAGTGAATAACCGATTTAATAAGTTAGGAGTAGTAGACTCTTCGGTCTCCTGATCAGGCGCCGTGCGTTGTGCGGGTTCGAATCCCGTCCTAAGACAAATGTTTTTCTTGGCTCTGGATGTTGTGATTGTCCGTAGGTGGTAGACGGTCTCTGACTCTCGAAGGCAGAGGTACCACCCGGCGGATCTCGTACGGCGGGGCCAGAATGTGTGCATGTTGCAGGCACACGTGTTCCCTCGCCAGAGTCCGTGTGGCGTTCCCCCCTTTCTCCTGTATCCCCCTGTAGCCCCACGGTACCCCATGGGTGTTTAGGCCGTAGGCTTTCGTGGTCGGTGGAGTATATAAAAATAACATTACTTATATGATTATTTTAGTTAGTTATACAGGGTGTCCAAAATAAGGACCCTATGCAATACTTGTGGGAGAAACAGCTTAGGTTGAATTAAGAAAACGTTGCTCTTTTCGAGCCGTATTTACACGCGGTTGAGAAAACATGCATGGCTTACTGAGGTATTTGGGAAAAACTAAAACTTGGCCAAATCACTTTTATTTTTGTCTGACTTTATTTTAAGAAATATCAAAAAACCAATGAAACCTTTTCATTGGCACTTTCTAGGCACTACATGATGTTGGTGGTTTTGAATTTTGTGCCCGATGTTTGATGGGAAATGAGAAACCATCATCAACTTTATTTTTTATATGGTTCGAAAAAAGTACACTTTTTATTTTAAGGAAGCGTTGCAAACAAATGTAAGATTATATGATTAATGATAGATGCATACTACACAGTACATAACGATATGATATGATGGTAAAATGATGCTTAATCTAGTGATATTCAGAACAGCAAATACATTTTTGGCATTATTTTTATTTTATTCACAATAGATGTTCAAATAGGTTGCCATTATTTTCTAATCATGAATCTGATCTTCTAACAGTAGAATTCAAAACGTAACGTAAAATTTGTCATGTAATTATACTGAATGCCTACATTACACATTCTCGTAACGCCTGCTTAATTTAAAAAGTATGCTGATAAACTTAGTTTTTAATAAAATACAATAAAAAAAGTTCATAGGAGTTAAATCCGGGGGGCACGCGCTGGCCCAGGCATTACACTGGAGGTTCCAATCTACCTTCCGGGAAATCGCTGAGGAAGGTACTTTCAAACTTGCCTAGAGTTATGTACAGAAGCACCGTCTTGTTGAAACCAACCGCTATTAACCTATGTCAAAACGTTCTTGACATCCGGATACTTTTTTAGCCCAGAGATTTCCTTGGGCCCAATAATGAGTGGTGCGGCAAATAATTATTAGTGGCCATGCTCTCGTCGGACCGTATTATTTTTTAAGGAAATTAAAATCTTCTCTACGCGTTCGTGTGTAGCACTCACAAAAATGATGGCGTCGTGCGCTATCCCCTGGTCTTAGTTCTTGGCAAATCCTGAATTTATAAGAGAGATATCTACTTTTACCCAAAACAGATTGTCCGGTGGGTTTGGCTGTTATGTAGTTGATATATCAAAATTCTCAGCAGCTGCTTGTAAAACACTAATCTGAGTTTCCTTTAAAGGTTCCATTTTCGAGATGTAACAGGACTTTTGAATTAACCATACTCGTTTAAATGTCAAGCCAACTAAGAAGATGGGCTTACTTTTTGCCTTTTTTGAGGAAATTTATTAAGATAAATTTCTGCAGTATTACTAGTAGTTTTGTGGTACAAAATGTATCACGTCAGCTCGTGTTTTTTCGGACCAAGTTAATGATGGTTTCTCAAAGACGAACCGTCGGACACAAAATTTAAAAACACCATCATGTAGTGCCTAAAAAGTGTCAACGTAGACAGAAAAAAAATATTTGACCAAATTTCAGTATTTCTCAAATATCTCAGTAGGCTATGAATTTTTTTCAAGGTTCTCAACGCTTCAAAGAAAGTAATTTTTTCCTGATTTAGCACGCTTTTTACTCTGAATTGAATTATTCTGTCAATAACTTAAATTTTATTATAATTTTATTTTGAGGTCATTAATTATGATTGATTGTTAGACCATCTACTACTGTAGTATTAACTCTTTGTGATTGAAAAATATCCTCTCTTTTAGTTTTTTTAACTATTATTTATTTAAAAAAAAATTAAAAAATTACAAATCACCTTTTTAGGATAGTCCAAAGATCAAGAAGATGCTTAGACAAATGTCCAAGATCAAAAATTGAGAATCTGACATAGCCCCAAGCTTTGCTAAAAAAAAATCTGACTTTCGATGCTTACCCTGTATAAGTGGATAAATAAAAGGAATATACCGATTGAACCCTGTACGTGTTCTCAAAGAATTTGGTCAAGAACCTCATGCATACCTTATCTCGATATCTCTCTCCGTTTCGAAAATATCGAGAGTTGAATTTGGGTAAAATTGTCCATGTTGCAAAACAACTGTCCACTAGTTTAGTTTCACGCACAGTCAGCATAGTGGGTATGATTCAACATAGATAAGTATACTTGAGCAAACCTACCTTCAAATATAGTATTTGTTGACTTACTGCTGTGGAATGTAGAATTTATTGTTCGGCATCGTAAATTTTCATTCTACCGACACATTTTGTTCGCCTTATTCTGCAAATCCCTGTCTCCTCTCTATTTACCCAAACTTAATTGCAAGCTATGAGTTAAAACTTTAAATTAGAAGTATATATTTCGGTTAGCCGAAGTTTAGGGGTTCCTGCTTGAATTAAAAATAAACGCAAAAGCCATTAATCATCTTATCTTTTAATTAAAAATTCGCTGCAGCGGACTTATACTCTTCATTACAACTAGCTCACTATAAGAGTAATTTGTACTAACAGTACAACGTCACCAGTACGGTACCAAGTTGAATTTAGTATTCTTTATATTCTGAACAGACTAGAGACCCGTTATTCTGAATTTATTGTCACATACGTAGTTCGGTCAATATCAGGGTCGATGTAATGCTCATTCATGATGTGATACATGTAATAATAATCGTCCTTATTTAAACTGTACAATTTCATACAGAGAAACAAGAGTTGTATATGGTGGCGAAGTTTAGCTACACTTACACTTAACCACCCATGCAATAAAAAAACAAAAGTTGTTAAGTAGCAGATATCAAAAAAAAAAACAAAAAAGTACATGTTGTACCAAGGTTTACTACATGTACACAAAGGAAGTAAAGAAAAAACATTTAGGGCCGATTTTACCATCATTAATATTATGGACCAATGGAAAAATACCTTATCGAAATGCAATTTGACGGAAGCTGTCAAAGGTCTCTGAATATCAGTGATTTCTATTGAAATATTGAATAAAATCGTGAAAATTCGACTGTATTATAAACAAGACCACTCTTTGATTCCATCATGATGCTTTTGTACAGAAAAAACATGACAACTTTCATGTATTTTGATATATGTTATAGGTTTACGTTTAACAATCCGTTATCCCCCTCAGCGAATGGGAATGCGGCAAATAATAGGTCGATTTTCTAGCTGTTAAATTTGGAAGCAGATTTGGACGTTTGTTAATGCATGGCACTCTCGAATTGACCAACTTCAATATGCTGAAAGTTATCATTACATACCTGTTGAATAGTGTGGATTTGTCTGTATTTTGCAAGAAAATAGAATATAATCCATCCAATTCCTCAGCTTCCTTTACGTCATAATAGTAATCATTTATTAATTTATGGGTTAATGAATTTCTTCAAAGCAATAAAAACAGTATGTCCTCTCCATCATAAAACACAGATATTATCTGTAAGACGTGTCAATCCCTACATCTGATGCATAAAGCAATTACTATGGACATAGACAAAAAATTATGAAAAATGTCTCACAAATAATGTCTTTTAAGTCCAAAAATCATAAAAACTAGTAGTGTCTTTTTGACTGGCGGGGATATCTATCTGACACTCGCAGGGTTGCCAAGTCTAACGACGATCACGTCCCGTGGTGGAGGGTGCGAAATGAATCTTTTACATTTGCTGGTTTTGAATTTTTTTCATCTTTGGTAGATTGTTCGATCCGGAATGGGAAAGATCTCCTATTTATGAAAATATTTTTGGTATCATCTAACCGTTGCAATCAGTGCACAAACACTGTGACATATGATTTATAGCATAACCCTATCAATACAAATTTAACATACAGGTCGCCTAGCCATGGGGAAGCAGTGGTCGGGATGAATATCACGGCAGCAACTGATGATTTGGGCATGTCTGGTAACAACGCATGAAGTGAAACTCGCTAACTTCACAAATTTGAAGATTTTGTACAATTTCTTTGAAAATGATGAAAGATATGTCTGATTTGGCAGGGTAATGTCGCAGCTAAATGGCAGTCACTCTTTCTGACACAGTCCGGATCGAAAGATGACGATACTCGTGAAATATATTGTTACTTCTAAATATAGGATCGTATCGAACATCCCTACTGTCAAGATGTATAACCCAAAGTACCGACGGAGCTATATTGCGGCGTCATGAAAATAATTTTAAATTTTCATTTGCATTTTTTCAAGTGTTGTGCAATGATTTTGGGAAAAATGTCACGAATAGTCTTATAAAGCATAGTAGAGTATATTTCAACAGTTGGCCGAACTTACTCCACTAGGACCAGGAGGGTGAAACGGGATATTAATGCACAATCTGGCAACCCTGTCGCACCCTCACAAAATGGCCGCTGATAACCACACAAGTCACCGTGTTGTCATTGAATAGCATGGAATTAAACCTTCAGAGTATATGTTTTGTAACTGCTACCAATAGTTGACAGATCCCACACATGTGTCACTCCTTGAAATGCAATAATCGGCTGTATTCAAATAATGTCTAATATAAATATAACCTAGAATGTGTACTCGGGAAAAAAGAAAAATATGGCAAATTTGTAGCTTTTTTGCAGGTTTTAGGCTTGCTGGTAGCTTTAAGGCATATATTTGGGAATTTCTTAATCGCAGTGAATATAGTGTGGATATTTGTTCAGTTCCTGAACAACTAAAAATATTCAACTTTATGGATGTATGGATATCAAAAAACCTGAATGGTTTTGTGGGAATACCAATATAAGGTGCCATAATGGTTCTGATGAACGGCAAGTAAATGAATGAATGTTTGGAAACGAGCAATATCTTTTGGTAGAGCCTGTCATCAAGTAAGTGCTTAATGGCTATCTGCAAGAGGTTTATAGGAAAAACCACCCAATATCACATATCAATTAAAGAAAATAATATAAACATGAATAAAAAATCAACAATAGTAATTAAAACATGGATTTGATTGAAAAATCCAACATTTCTTAATATTCAATAAGCTGGTGATGTTTCAATGACAAGTTGTCATCTCATACTTTGACAGTATTTTGTTATCAACATTTCGTAGCTATTGGTTGCAAAAATTTGTTGATTGGAACTTGAAGCTCATTCGCTGTATCTGACGATCTGTTACCCTATAGGCGGAGAATAACGGACTGTTGTTGGTGAAGTTGGCCCTTAGCAATATAACACAGACAAGAGCAACCTGTTTAAACTATGGGTGCAAGCAGATTTGAGACTTGACAGCTTTCTTGAAGCAATTTAAGGACATGTTTTTGAATGCAGAACTCAAAGCATTGTACAACACTGCAGCACTGTATATGAAAGAACGCTGTAATAAAGTTCTCATATGAGACAAAAGTTTTCAAAATTGAATTGAAATTTAGACCCGCTTTTGATGTCTGATCTAGTTACCATGAAGCAGGTGGATTGCTTTTGTCATTAACAGAGACTATAGATGAGCGTCATGTTGTTTCAACAGTCAAATCCAAAAAGTCGTTTAGACTTGAAACTCGGATGAATATCTACAGCGTAGTTGGACGGTTACACCTAAATGAAATCGCGACAAACAGTTTGGTCATCCAACCATTGATTGCGCAGGAAGAAACTGTGGGTCGGTTCTGAGGCAAAGGCATTTTGCGAGAAACCGCACCAATATGATAAATGATTAAAAGCATTTTATGTTGTCGCATTAACAAAACAAAAAGAATCGATGTATTTGATATCACCGATATTGTCCAAATAAAATAAAATTCAAAGCAAAGTCGAAATTTGCTGGTGCGCAACTTCTGAGGCTCGGGTTGCAACTCCCCATGCTGGTCGAGTTCGAGTAGAAGCTGAAATAACATGCCTAAGACTAATAATAAATAATAGATCTTTACAGATTAGTAACAGGGAGACTTGCCTATAGTGCCCCTAGGCCCCTAGGACAAGTGATTTATAAGATTACTGACAACTTTATCAACAAGAAGGTTCTGAATCTCGAGAACTTATCGAGACTTACCACTCAGATACTAATTGTCATGATGACTGAAGTGAGATCAAATAAACGTTTCACTTCGATGTTTTTGGCTGTTAAAAAGAAATAAAACAGACAAATCTTATACCAAAAAAAAGAAAATACATAGGATAAAAAATAATAAATGACATAAAAAATAAATGTTGTAAACAGCTGGTCTGGTCCAAAAACGGATTTTGAAATATACAGGGTGTTAAGGATATAATATTCGTAACATTATTCTAAGCAAAAAAATATCATTATAACTTACATATATCCGAAAATCAATTGTTTTCGAATAAAGTAACCACGATACGAGCGCACGACGACCGCAACTGATTCATCGAATTGTTTACGTTTGTATAATATTTTTGTTGTTTTGTTGAAAATATGCCTTTTACGCAATTTTTTGTGGCTAATATTTTTTATTTAATAACCCTTTCAGTACAGTACATTTACTTTAAAAAAATGACAGAACTTACGTGTACGTGACGATACACAGCACCAATTCCCACGATTATCAGTCACATAAAGTTACATTTAAATGTATTGGTAATCACAACAATACGCGATGATACATGCCGTACAGGCGTACTACGACGTTGCCAGTTGTGTGAGGGATTTTTTTTGTCTGTTTCTATTCGGAAAATCGTATTTAATAAGCAAGAAAATTATTTTGTTAAGACAGTTAATTACTAAAAAGATGTATTGATACATTTTACGCTATTAGGCATATGAATTTAAATCATTGGGGTGCAAAATTCATTTATTTCATGACTAAAAAGAAATAAGTTCATGATTTTTTTGCTCCGAAACGTAGGTTATAATGAACTTTTTTGCTTAGAATAATGCAAGAAAGTTACAAATATTATTTCCCTAACACTCTGTATATTATGCAACGAATATTGTGTAAAGTTAGTCAAATATGGTAGGCTAAAAACTAGGTAGCTGGTAATAG